TTAAATTCTAATTTTTTTTTTTTGTTTTTTGGTTGATCATTTGATATATATGATCACCCGAATGGGTAGATAAAAAAAAAATTTGGTTTGTTACATGGAGAATTGTAATTAATTATCACATAGATAAATTTATAAGTTAAAAATTATTAAGAGCGCAATAATGATTCATATGTTTACTAGTAAGTAAGTATGATTCATCAGGTCACGTTGATTACTCAAATTTTTTCAAGGTAAACTTACTAGCCACCATATGCAAACAATTAAGGTAACATATAGAGAAAACTGGCAATATTTCTTTTCTTTATTTATTTACTTTTTTTTTTGTTCCTTTTTTTTTCTCTTACTTAGGAAAAAAATTTGTGTTGGAAAAAATTAAATTTCTTTAAAAAAAAATATTAAGAAATTATTTATTTTAGTTAAATAGATATTGGTTTATTTATTTGTTTAGTAAATTTATTTCACCAATAATTTATTTAAAAAAAAAGAAATAAAAAATTACATTAATATTTTTATTCCTATAAAATGAAATTAAATGTTAAATTATTCACCATTTTTTTTTTGTAATTATTGTAGTAAATAATGAGATTAGCAAATTTTTTAAAAAAAAAAAAACTAAAAGTGTTAAGAAAAATGTCCAAAATGACAAAGATATTTTTATTAAAAGATTATTTTAATAATTCCATTGACATTTCATTAAAATGTATTGCAATAAAATATTTATAATGATACCGGAAAGCTATTTTCGGAAAATTATATTATTCAGCAATATCGGAAATACTATAGTTTTCCTTAATATCAATTTATCATTAAACATGAAAATGATTTTAAAAAAATGGGAGAGAAAAAAGGAACTATATTTTTGTTGTTATTACTTTTTTACAAAAAAGTTTAACTTTTTTTTTCAAAATAAGTAAATTACATAAAAATTATTGCTGAAAAAAAGATTGTTGGAATTTTGTCTTTTTTTTGGATAAATATATAAATATTGAAAAAATATTCATACATTTATTGATATATATTTAAATAAATATTTAAATGATTAGCAAATTTGTGTTTTTCCTATTAATAAGCAGTAAATCAATTAATAATACTGCTGAAATTTAAAGTCATTTTTTTTTGTATGTAATTTTTAACTATTTTTAAAAAATAATCAGAGATACAATATTTTCTGCCTATTGTACTACTACCCTCTCACTACCATATTACTACCGTACTTTCATACCATTACCGTAGTTTGCTTACATAGATAATTTTCCGTTTTGCTCACTTCTCAAATATATCACATTTTAATGATTTCGTTAAGATAAATTAAATTTCGCAACATTATCATCATTACTATCATTATCACTACTATTATCACCATCATCATCATCATCATCATCATCCATTGATATGTAGTTGTAGCGTTCGTTTGTCATCTTCGGCGACATTTATCATCGATCATTAGAAATTGCCACCATTTCGTGTCTCTTTTGTCATCCATTTATTCATTCATTCATTCATTTCATTTCATTCATTCCATCCCTAATCTTTACTTTTCTTCCTTTTTACTTTTTCCCATTATTTCATTCATTCTTCATTCTTCCTTCTCTTTTCCTCCTTCTTCAATTTCATCGAATATTTTTACCACTTATTATTCTCATTATCATTATCATTATTATAATCATTATTATCATTTAATTATCAGTCTATGACAATATTTTCGGTTACTTTCAATCAGTAACTTATTTTTTTAAATTTTTTTTAAAAATATTACTACTACTACTGCTACTACTACTATTATTGCGTAATAAAATTGTTACGATTGAGTTGTTAAATAGCATTGCTGTAGTAGTGGTGACGATGATGGTATTGATGGAGGCGGTGTTTGTGATTAATAATTAGCTAAGAAAGCGGTATTGGCACGAATGACGATCATTTCTTACTACAATATTTATGGCGCAACAACACAAGCGACAGCTGCAACAACAACAACAACAATTAATCACTATAATCTGCATATTACTGATAAGTTTAAATCAGATAGTAACAACAATAGCTGATAATAATATATCATACAATGTTAATGATATTGTTTACGATAACAATAGCAGCCACAATAATAATAACAACAACAACACTGTCAATATTAATTATGTTGCTAATGAGCGTTATTCGGTTCTACGATTACGTACCACTGATCTCAATCAATTCTTATCTGTAAAAAAATTGATCGATTCATCTGTTGATCTCAAAGTAAGTATATCTTTTTTTTTTAACTAAAACTATACTAAAATTTTATTTCCTTTTTTCACTCCCTAAATAAAAAAAAAAAAAGAAAAAAAGAATGAGAATGAGGAAAAATTAAATAAACAGATTAAGAAATTTCATAAGCTTAAAATATAGCAAAAAAAAAGTGAAGAAGACATCACAATTGGTAAAGTTTGAAAAACTAAAAATTTGAAATTAATTTTAAATTGGATAAATTTCAACTTTATTTATGGATTAAAATTCTATTTTCATGTTAATAAAAAAAAAACTGTTGATAAATCAAAAATTACACTTTACGATGTTCTATGAATTATTAAATTAATTTATCGATAGAAATCAAAAATTTTAGAACATTTCAAAAATTTGATATTGGCAATTTCATTTCATTGATTATTTGACTTGGAGAAAGTTAGAAGCACTAATTTGCATAATTTCAACACTATTCCTATTTATTCGCCCAATAATTTAATAATATAAATAAGCAATTTTCATCGCATAAATGAAATTTAATAAATATTAATTTGTGAATAAAAATCATTTCCAAAATTATTTTATTAGTTAGAAGAAGAATTCGAATTAGATTTATTTAATTATAGAAGTTAAATCATAACAACTACTTATCTTTCATAATTTTTAATTATTCTAAAACATTCCGACAATTTATGCTTTCTATTTGGATTAGCATAATAAATTGTAAGTATAAGTTGAAAAATTAGTCAAACAAATGAAATGATAACTCTGATGGGACACTTTAACATATTTATGTATTACTTTGGAAATTTTCTTGTTTAATTCATCTTTGGGAAATTTTTTATTCATTTCATTCTTTAGAGTCTCTGAATTAATTTTTTCTTTGCTAAAGAATTTTTACTAATTAATCTATTTATTAAATAATTATTATATAATTGAAAAAAAAACTATTGCTTATTATATTTTTGAAAATTTCGCTTATTAAATAATTAGAAATATAACATTTACTGCATTCTAATATTGATATAATAGCAGTAAAGTAACTTTCACCTGAAATAATAGTTCCTAAATTCGATATACTTTTATTTATTAAATTGATTTGAAATTTTTTGGTTACCACACATTATCTAATATTATATCTTAAAATGTAACAAAAAAAAAGATTCTAATCATTTATTTAAATATTATTTTTATTGTTAATGAATAGTATTTATTTGCCAGATAAAATTTTCGATTAAAATTTAGATTACTCAAAATATTTGAAAAAAAAATTTAAAAAAAAATCAAATTTTCAAATATTAAATTTGATCAAATTTCATAACCAATGATTAATAGGAAGTTCAGACAAGCAAATTTCTTATTATTTATTTATTCGATTATTTTTTTGCTTACATTTCTCTTTTATGGTGAAATAATGTAAATTTTGGTAATTTAAAAAAAATTTTTGATTATTTTTTTTTTTTTTGAAGAAATTATGGGTTAAGAAAATTAGATAGCAATTAGAAAAAAAAACACTGACAAAAAGAAAGAAAAGAGAAAATGAACTTTCGTTTTAAAATTTATTTCCTTGCATTAAAAAAAAAAAAAAGAAATCTCAAATTTGTTTTCATTTATTCCCTTTCATTTTCTTTCAAATTTCTATGTATTTTTTCAAATTTTTATTTGTGTCACAATCATTAAATTTTTTCCGTAAAAAATTTTCATTTTTTTTTTTCTATAATCTGGTCAAATTTCCATTGTTTGTTCCTTTTTTTCTTCCTTTTTTTTTTCATTTATTTCTCTTTTTTGTTCTTTTAACAAAATATTTTTTATTAATTTTAATTTGCTGTTATCCTTTGGATTACATTTTTAGTTTAGTTATTTATTTTCTTTTTAAAATCACTTTCTTTTGAATGCATTTTTCTTTCAGTTTACATTTCCATTCCATTTTATCATATTTAATTTCATTAATTTTAGCCTATTTCATTTGACACATTTAATAACATTTTTTGATTTTATTTCTATTTTCATTTAGTGTATTTAATAAGCAAAAATAAATATGAACAAATAATAATGATAAACAAAGATAATAAACAAAAATAATTGAAAAAAAAATATGTAAATAAATGTAATAAAATATATGTGTTTCTTTCATTTTTTTTTTGTTTGTATTTAAAATTATTTTATTCTAATCTAACTTATTGGCTACTGATATTTTGATTACACTTTTAATTATATTGAAGAATTAAACTTCGCTAACACTGCTAACAGTTTGCAGTTTGCAACGTGAATGACGTACGTCATTATTTCCATTAACTTTATGATCATTCCGAAAAAGCTTCGACAACAGAAAATCAAAATAAAATTAATTACAAAAATTGTCACTCAGTTGAAAATATGAATTATAATATTTTATTCTTTTTCCCATACAGGAATGAAAGCAAAAAAAAACAATCAATTAAGAAATAATAAACTATTTAAAAAATGTCATACATAATATATCAAAATTAATTTAATCAGAAATTAAATTATCAACCAGTAATGATAAGATATTAAATATATTATGGAAATTTTGAAAAGAACTGAAGTGAATTTATTTGCTAACAAAAAAGCAAAATGAAATGAAAAAGAGAAAAGGAAGAAATATAGATGTGAAATGAAAAAAAAAAAGTAATATTATTGTAAAAAAATTAAGTAATATAATTAAATCAGAATTAATTGAATAAAAAATAAATTAATATGCAAATTTTTAGGTAAATTTTTGGAAAATAGCACGAAATATACATGATGTAACTGACGTGATGGTACCAGCAAGTACGATGAAAAAAGTTTTGCATTTATTAAATGACGGAAATGTTAATGTAACTGTTACTATTCCGGATGTTGAACGGTTAATTTTTTTTTTCAATTCCTTTTTCCGTTTTTCTTTTTTCTGGATATTATGAACTAAATTAATTATTTATCAAAAAACTCGTTTTTTACTTTCCAAAAAAAATTTTTTTCTTTTTTTGTTTTTTAAATTTATTTGTCTTTTCTTTCTTTTTTAAATGTATTTTCCACTACTTCGAGCGTAATTTTTTGAATCAGTTTTTTTGTTTCGTTCAAATTTGAAAGTGCAGAAGTGACAAATTATCAGAAGTGATAAATTATTTGAAATTTTGTTTGGACTTGAAAAGTAAGAAAAAAATAGAAAAGTAGAAACAAACAAACAAGCATTTCAATTTAAATTTGATAATGAACTTTTAATTGATAGTACTTTTTAAGGAATATTTTAAATTTAAACGATTAATTAACATAATAATAAGCTTAATATGAATAAAAAAAAGCTGTTAAACTATTATTAATTAGTAATGGTACTGTTGAAAAACCGAATATTACAATAATGTATAAAATAATTTATTAATTTTTAAAATTTTTTCATTTGTGATCGTATCTACTTATTTTTATTATTTTTTTCTTTTCCTATTTTTTTAAAAATATTTTCAAATTTTGTTATCTTTCTAATCTCATTAAAAATTGCTTATTTCTTATTTAATCATTAATATACATTGAAATGTTCAAAAATTACTTGCCATTAAATTTATTATCTTTTATCATTTATTTATCTATCAATAATATTTATCTCATTGATCACAGTCAATTTATTCAATTAAAATTTTCTCATTCATTTATCTTTCATTTTTTTCTTTAACAAACAAAAGAAAAAAAAAGAGCAAAATTTTTGAATAGAAAAAAGGAAAATATAAAAGTTAAAAATAATGCATTCAAAATGATATGATTTAACGAAAAAAATTTATTTTCTTCTTCTTTTTTCTTGATAAAAATAAAAAATAAAAACTTGTTTTTGGTTTGTTTTTCTAATAAATTACATTAATAACAAGTGGACTTTAAAAATGATTGCATTATGTGTAACTAATGGTGATAAGTGATAAATGACAAATTGATATTGACAAATGATAAATGATAAATAGTGAATCAGTAATGATAAATATGAGGAATGAAAGAAAAAAAAATGTACGAATTTATTCAATTAAAAGTACTGAATATAAAACATTGTATCAAAAAAAAAAATTTAATGATAATTGATAATGATGATAAGGAATATTTCTGTAATTAATAATAAAAGGTGGAAAAGAATATTTTAATAATTAATAATTAAAGAATGAATAATATTTAATTTAAAAAAAAAATTACACAAAATTTTATTGCTTTCCTTTCTTTTTTTTGCTTCAAAATTTGCAACGATTTAATAAAATTGAATTAAAACACTAAATGTAAAATATTGTTATAAATACAAAAAAAAGAATATTTACATTCTTTTTCTATCAAATTTGTACAATTATGAATTAATAATATTATTTCTAATCCAATAAGTAATATAATGTGTATATTTTGTTTTGTCTTTTAATTTTTTCATCAAAAAAAAATTTTCTTTCTCATCTTTTTTTTACCTTTTACATAAAAAATTTTTTTCATTTTTTGATTTTTGATCATTCAGATACTTGCATTTTAAAATGAAATTTTAAAATTATAAAAGTGTTCATTATTATTATTATTATTACATTATTATTATTATTATTATTATTATTATTATTATTATTATTATTACAGATTAATTATAAAACGGGAGAAAAAAAATGGCATATCTGAGCTGCAACAACGTTATCGAGATGATTCCGGTTCAATAACAGGAAGATCAACTACTGAATTTAACAAATATGATTTTTATTCATACGGTTCATATAAGGAAATGATGAAATGGTTACGATCATTAGCCAGAAAATATCCGGAATTTGTACGGAATATATCAATTGGAAAATCGCATGAAAAACGTAGCATTGATGGTTTAGAGGTTTGTGATAAATAAATAATTTTCCGGTTATAACAATTTTTTCTTTTCATTGCTTACAAAAAATTTTCTAATCGAAAAATCCCATCAGTAAAAAAAAAAAAGAAAAATCTTGAACAATAAAATTGTAATTTGTTTGATTTGCTTCCGGTATATCTCTCCGGCTTCCGGTATATCTGGATAAAACATACTAATTAAAAATCGATTAATGCACTTTTTTTTCTATTTCTTTAAAAAATTTTCCTTTGTTAATTTTTTTATTTATCTCGCAGTTATTCTTCAATTATTTGACAATTTGTTATTATTTTTATCATTGTTATTCTTTTGTTTTATTTTTTTTTCTATTGCTCATAAATTTTATAAATTTAATATGCAAAATATGGAATAATTTATATATTTAGAAAAATAACTTGTTTTAAATTTGAAACTGTATTGAAAATTTATTTGAAAGCATAAGTGATTGATGCCAAAATTAATTAACAATAAAATTTGTAAATTCAAACTATCAATTAATTAAAATTTTAAGATAATAAAAACAAATCTTAATAATTAGAGAAAAATGAAAATGACAAAGTATCCAAAAAAATTCTTTTTTCATTTAATAGCAACAAAACATTCATTTCTTTTAAATCCAATATAATTTTGTTTGATAAACAAAAAACAAAACAAAACATTGATAAGATTAAAATTAATTAACAACAAATTTATTCATTTAAATTGTAAACTTAATTTGATTTTTAATAAATTGATCAGAACAAGAAAAAAAATCCCATAAAAAATTCAATTTTTCATTTTCATAAAATTTCTTTACTTCAATTTAATTTTTTTTTCTCTCTCTCTCTTCCTTTTTTGTCTTTTTTGTTTTTAATTCTTTTTAAGTCTTCGCCTAAATTGCACCAATATATTCCTTTTCTCTTTTCATCCTGTCTGTCAAAATAACCGGTAGCTATGAACGGTACAATCGGATTCATTCATCCGGTTTTTTCCTTTTTTTTCTTTTCAACCATATCATTTATTCACTACCAATAATTTATCATTCCATTTTCAAATTTAGCAAATATGCATTTAAATTTTTAAAAATCTCATTAAAGAATAAAAAAAGAGAAAAATTTTGTAGGATAACATTAATACAAAAAAAAAGAATCAAACCGTAAAAATTTTAAGCAAAACCTGATCTAACATTTAATAATCACATTTGATTTATAAAATGAAAAAAAAAAAAAATTAAAGAAATCAAAAAGAGGAATAGAAAATAGAAATAATGAAATAATTTTAGAAACGACCATGAAATGGAATTTAAATAATGAAAAAATCATAGAAATGTCAAAAAATAAATTAAAAATAATGAAATAATTTTAGAAGAAACAAAAAATGGAATTTGAATAATTAAAATAATTTTAGAAATATCAACAAAATGAAATAAAAAAAAGTGAATAATTTTAGAAAAAACGAATAAAAATAATAAAAAAAATTTTGCGAATTTTTTTTTTTTTTTTAGATATATTAATTATATATAAGAATGTATATAATTCTATTTGTGTTTTTTTTTTAAAAAAAAAAAATGAGAAAAAAAAGGAAAAATAATTTTATGACTTTTAATAAATGCAAAATTATAAAAACAAAAGTTAAAAAAATTCTGTAACAAAAGGAAAAAAAGAAACTAATCGAATATGCTATTATTATTATTATTATTATTATTATTATTATTATTATTATTATTATTATTATTATTATTATTATTATTATTATTATTATTATTATTATTATTATTATTATTATTATTATTATTATTATTATTATTATTACTGATATTGTTAGATATCATTCGGTGAAAATCAAAAATTAATAAAAAAATAAAATAGACAAAAAAATGCTTGACAAAAAAATTTCTTTCAAATGTAACCAAACATTTTTTATTTCTAAAATTATTAGTTATTGTTTTTCTTGCTTCTTTTTGTTTGAATCTTGCAAGCTTATTTTAGTATTTTAAAATTTATCAAATTTTTAATTTAATTTATACGAAACAAAATCACTTTGATAGTGTATCATTTGACGATTAATTTGCCTTTTTTTTCTATAATTTCAGCAACTTACTCCATTACTATTACTTATTTTATCCTACAATTTTATTATCATTATTACAAATTTATTAGATTACTTTTATTTCATTTTGCTTTTAATATTTTCATCATCAAGTTTTATTCAGCGAATTTACAACAAAAGTAATAACAAAGTGTGTTCCATGCTAAATATAATAATTAGTGATTTATTAATAACAATAACTGATGAAAATAATATTAATAACAGTGATGATGGTAATAATAATAATAACAATAACAATAATAATGACAATAATAATAATAATAATATTAATACTAATGAAACAATAATATTATCAATAATAATAAAAATAATAATGATATTCATTTTAATAATAACAGTGATAATAATTCATTTTTCTATTTCAGTGTCACATATTATGTTTAATTAATTTAAACAAATATTATTATGCAATTACAGATTGGTGGAAATAATCAATCCAAGCGTGTATTCTGGATTGATGGCGGTATTCACGCACGTGAATGGGCTGCGCCACATACGGCCTTATATTTCATTCATCAATTAACATCAAAATATGGACATGATAAACAAATTACAAAATATGTTGACGAATTAACTTGGGTTATTGTACCATGCTTAAATCCTGATGGATATGAATTTACACGTTCGTCAACTAATCCAAATGTTAGTATTTAAAAAAAAAAAAAAAACTGATTTATGATTTTTAATTATTTATTAATTCGATTATTAATTGCAAAAAAAAAGAAAATAGAATTTTGAATTTAACTCAATTCTTTATTATTTCTATTATTTTCTTAATAATATAAAAAATCATTAAAAAGAAAGCCAAAAAGAGACAAATGTAATGTTATCATTTTATATTAAATAATTTATCATAAAGAATTTAATTACATTAAATACGTTTAATCGATTTTGAATATTGCATGTCATACTTTTCTTACTCCAAATATGATAACAAGTTAAATAATAAAAAATGAAATTAACAGTGCAAAAAAAAAAAGAACAATTTAAAATTTTAAAACACTAAAAATTATGGAAATTTTATTTGTCAAAAAAAGTGAATTTTAAAATTTATTTTTTTAGATTCGATTATGGCGTAAAAATCGTTCCTCATTTGTCTGTGAGAAAGATCAATGGGGACGTAATCGCTGTTGTCGTGGTGTTGATTTGAATCGAAATTTTGATTTTCATTTCAAAGGTAATAACATAATTTATAAATTACGATTTTTTGTTTTAATGAGTTTTTTTTTTGAAATTTAAAAAATTTAATAAAACTTAAGAATGCTAAAAATTTAAAAAAAATGCTAATTTCATTTCTTTTTTTTATCTAACCAATATGTCTTAATTTTTATGTTCTCATTAAAAAAAAAAGAGAAAGAAAAGCATGTTATGCAATGATTTTATTGATGAAAGTATGAAATATTTGTAATTGGAATTAAATTTAGTAATTGTAAAATTTTAATTTTAAAATATTACAAATTCTAGAAAGCGGTTCAAGTGATGATCCATGCGCTGAAATTTATCAAGGCAAAGCACCTTTTAGTGAACCAGAAACACGGTTTGCTTATTTTATCATTTTATTCATTTGTATTATCGCTAAATTATTTTTAACTTTCTTTTAGAAATTAGAATTTTATTTTTAAAACATTTTTAGTAATATTTAAAAATTGTTTTTTCTTTCATTTTTTTTTCACTTTTTTGATTTTACAGCATATCAAATAATTAAAATTACAAAAAATAAAAATAAGAATGTAAAATGTTAATGTATCAAAAAATTTTAAATATCATATCAAACTACATATAGAAATTATTATCTGTGATAATTGATACCACTATAAAAACCAAAAGATAAAGTTTAAAAAATCAAAAGAGAAAAAGAAAATTTTTTTTTTCGTAATTTTAATTTTACCTTTATATATAGTAATTTACTTACCTGTTTCTCATCCATTATTTTAGTCTATCAGTTATTAATTAATTTTTTCCTTGAACTTCATTTATTCTACTTATAATTTCATTATTTATATTCATCCATTAAAAATAGATTAATTAGTAAAACCTTTATTTACATATTTTACTTACCTATTCCTCTTCCATATATTTATATTATATACATATATTTTTCTTTTATTCATCTATTAAAAAAAAAGATAATTGCATTTTATTTTATCATTTATTTATCTATCAAATTTTACTTTTTTCTTTTTTTGTTCGATTTCCATTTATTTCAATTATTATATTTATTTATTAATTTCATTATTTGCAGTCATTTATTAAAAAATAAATTAATTAGTAATTAATTTCTCTTTTTTAAATATTATTTTTGTTTTTTTGTTTATTTTTTGAGAGCAGTACGTGATGCAATAATGTCAAATCGTTATCGTGGACGTATCGATGCATTTATAACATTGCATACTTATTCACAACTTTGGATTCATCCGTATGGTCATCGTAAGGATACATATCCTGGTGATATACAAGATTTAGTTAGCATTTATTATAAATTTTTAAATTTTACTAAAATTTTTAAATTAGATTAGTTAGCAATAATAAATGTATTTTTTTCCAATAATATAAATTATTATTTCATTTTTATTCCTTCTTTTTCTTATTCAAATTCAATCATTGTTGGTAAATTTTTATTGAAGTAAACAAAAACATAAACAAATTAATTGTATTTTTAAATAATATTAATTAATAGTAACAAATATATTTTTTCCAATAAAATAAAATTATTATTTCATTTCTATTCCTTTTCACCATTTCTGTTTTTCTTACTATAATCAATAAAATTTTTATTTTAATTTTCAAAAAACTTTCATTTAGTAACACTAACAATATGTGTATATAGTTGATAATTTTGAATTTTTTCGAAAAATTTTTTTATTAAATATAACTTTATCAAAAAGAAATGAATTTAATACAAATGAATTTAATTACAGGTTTTATTAATTATTTTGAAAGAAATTAAAATGTTAAATTATTATTATTTTTTGTGTAATTGTTTGTTATTATTAAAGTATAAAGTTGGTAAGAATGCAACAGATGCACTTAGCAAACTTTATGGTACAAAATATATTGTTGGCAGTGGAGCTGATACATTATGTTAGCTTATTTTTTTGTTTTCATTCAATTAATAAACAAACAAACATTTTTATTAAAAAAAAAAAAAACAAAAATTTGTTCTTTTAATTTTTGAAATTATTTAATTCTATGAATTTATTACTATAATTTTAAGTTTTTTTTTTGCTTAATTTTTCTTTTTTGACTTTTTTTTCATTTGAAAACAATAAATTAATTATATAATATTTTATTTGTTGAATAGATAAATTTATGATTAGATCCAGCATCTGGTGGCTCTGAAGATTGGGCAAAACAAACAGCAGGCATAAAATATGTTTACTTATTGGAATTACGACCCGATGAAAAAAGTATGCTTTGTTGTTTGTTAAATTTTGTAATAATAATGTTAAAGTAAAATTTTAAAACTATAAATATCAAAATAATCATTATTAAATAATGTTGTAATTACTTAATGATTAATTCACTTACCATTTAATCATTCATCAAAAGTAATCTTAAAAAAAATGAGAGAATAAATAAGAAACATGAGTAATAATTAATGAAATTAATTTATAAATGCAATATTTCTAGATAATATATTATTAATAATTAAAATATATATATGTACGACACATTTATTAATTTTTAAAATTTAAAAATTTTAAAGAAAAAGAAAAAAATCTTTTCATCTTTTCAATTATATCATTTCTTTTTATGAAAAATAAACGATAAGTAATGAAATAAATTTACAAATACAATATTTCTAGATATAAAATTATCATTAATTAGCAGAAAAATTTAAACCATCATTAATTAAACTATTAATCAATAGTTTTTAATTGCAAGATAAAGATTTAAATTTAAAGATTGGGATGGATTTATTCTCGATGAACGACAATTAATACCAACAGCAACTGAGACATGGGCAGGCATACGGGTAGTTGCTGACGCAGTAATCGAACGAGCAAATCGTAAAGCTATCAGAATTAATGGTACTAAAAGAATTTCCAAAATTTCAACTTATTATTATGCTAGAAATGAGTAATTGAAGTTATCATATTGTTTTATATGTAAAATATATAATAAATATAATATTTGATATGTATAATACATTTATTTTTTAAATTTATAAATTTCAGATAAAAAAGAAATTTTTGTTTTTTTAAATTTTTCATTTCAGTATAAAAAATAATATGCATTTTATATGACATGTATGACACATTTATTAATTTTAAAGAAAAAGAGAAAAAAATCTTTTCATTTTTTTTTAATTATATAATTTCTTTTTATGAAGAATAAACGACAAAATCCAAGGAAATAAAATTTTTTGAAAAGAAAAAGAAACCATGCATATATTTTTTTTTTTTAAAAAAAAAGAGAAAGAACAGAGAGAATGGAAAGAAAGAATTGAAAATTAGATTTAATTATTTCATAACGAACAAATCAATTCTTTTCAAAAAAAAAAATTAAAAAATAAAAGATAAAAATAAATAAATTGTCAATACTTTTTACTTGGAATCCAAAAAAAAAAAAGAATTAAATCAAATGGAATTTAGTTTAAAAAATCATCAATTCTTGTTAATCGATGAATTTTTAAATAATTCCTTATTGCATATTTTCTTTTTCATTTTAATTATTCATCGTTTTTTCATTTACTCAATGTATCTAAGAAAAAATAAAAAATAAGAAAACAAAAATTTCACATCAATGAGAAAAAAGAAAAAATAATATTAACATATCATAAAAATGTATATCATTTTATTTGATGAATTAATTCCATTTCATTTCGAATTATTCTTTCATCTTTTTAATGCTTAAATTATTTACGCTGTGCTATATTTACTACCAATTTATCAATTTAAAAGATATAAATTGGTTTCAAACAACATACGTAATATCCCTAATACTTTATTATGTATTACTTTTACCACTATTATTATTATTGTTATTATTATTTACTGTTATTATTGCTATTATTATTATTTATTATTCTTATTGTTATTACTACTACTATTACTATTACTACTGTTTATTACTATTATTCATTATTGTTATCATTGCTACTATCATTACCACTATTATTACTACTATTATTACTGTTCATTATTATTATTTACTATTACTGTTATTATTACTATTATCATTATTATTACTATTATTATTATTATTATTATTGTTGCTAATATAATATCTATACGCCATGTTCCTGTTCGAACTCATTCCGAAAAAGAAAGAAAGGATATAATAAACCAAGAAAAAAGAGATACTTTGAAGTGATACAACTAACAATTTACTTTATGAAAAGCAAAAATAAAAAGAGTAAAAATGTTTTTTTCTATTTTCCTATTTCTATTGGTTAATTTCAATGCTTACTAAATTTTTTCTCATATTTCTTTTCCTTTTCCTCATTTCTTTCTCTTTCAAATTTTTTTTAATACTAATATTTAGTAAAACCTTTGCTTTTCCAACATTTTATTAAAAATTTTTTTTTCTTTTTTTTCTTTTTTTTTAGACACTATCAAGCAAGAATATCGTTTTGGTAATGGCAGTGCTGGTTCATGTTACGATTTACGTCATGCATGTAAACGATGGGTTCAGGAAAAAGAATCAATTTGTAAAACGGTACCAATTTTTATGCGAGAACAATGCGCCTATTCATGTGGTCATTGTTAATCAATAAAACTGAAATAAGCTTAATTAATAAACTCTTTTAAAATATGAAAATAAACAATTTTGCTTTTTGATACAATTGCTAAGCTCCTTTTTTTATACTGTAAATTGGATAATATTCTTGTGAAAGTAATGCACTGCTTTTATAGCTATTGCTAAACTAAGCTTAATTCGAGTGAACAAAATTTTATCGAATAGACCTAATTTCATAATTACATTTTTATATACTAAATCAGTATCATACAATATATTCAAACATTTCACTAAGAAAAAGTAAGAGTATGTTATAAAGGAATTATATTAAGCAATTTTTGATTGAACTTTTTCTTCATTGACCAAATTTGTTTAATTTTTTCTTCATCGATCAGACTAAACATTAACGATCACACAAGGCTTTAACAGTAGTAGGCTCCATCAATTTTGGATCTACAGAACGATGTACAGCTGATGAAACAATTTCATCGATTAGCGAAAGCGCAATTTGTTCGTCTGACAAATAGCGCCATAAATTCTGCCGTAAAAAGCAACAATCCACCTGCCAATTATCCATATTTTAATTTCATATGCAATATAAATAAAATGTGTAAAACTTAAAAATATTTTTCTCTGATCATGCACACGTCAAAATACATACTAATTTGTTATTTAAAAGAAATAAAATTTTTCATAAAAAACAAAAAAAAAAACCTGAATTTGTTGTAAACCAAATGCAGAAAATGTTTGTAGTCGAACGCATTCAAGGAAACATTTCAAAGCAACATTTATAATGGCAGTCAAGATTGATATACGATTGAACTGCAAATTGAGGGTATTAAAAAACAATTAATAACCACATCAAAATTTTCTGAATATGTGAAATTAAAAATTGTTTACTGATAATACACAATAATGCAAAGTAATTAGATACTTTAGAAAGAATTAAATACTTTTGTTTGCTTTCAAATTAATGCGATTGATGATAAATATTTTTATTAAAAATCTTCATGTTTCATTTCAAAAGTTAACTTTCTACTATCTTTCCTCATTTTTGTCCTATTTTACTCATTCATATATGCATAATTATCCTAATTTTTATAAAATTTAGGGTAACAAAAATTCTATTATTAAAAAAAAAGAAAACACGCACTTCTACATTTGTACAAAAATCTATCCTTTCAGACCATAATTTATCCAGTGTTGAGCTGATTGAACATGTATCCAATGTTTGCCTTGAATGTGATCGAGATGAACTGTTTTCTAACAATCGTTCTTTACGAGTACCTTCATCCATCTGAGAAAATTTTGAAAATTTTTTGAAGTTATTAGAATTAATTCAAAGACCGCGTATTAAACACGACAACATGTTAGCCAACAGAGTTTTTAACCAATTATTTAATCAATCGATATCTATTTATGTTCCTAGCAAATTTTTTTCTTTTTTCAAAATCGTTTTAACGAAATTTAAAGAAAAAACGAACAAAAAAAAATACAAAACAAAACAAAGACGAACTAAAGCATAACAAATAAAAAAAAATTTTTTGTAAGCGGAAAACAAACACTCATTGCACTCCTATTTTTGTATGATGATGATTAAAAATTTAATTTAAAAGGTCAACACGTATCCGTAAAAATAGCACTATTGCATTCCGGATAAGTTATTTATGAACATTGCTCGATTACATTTACAACATTCCATTATTTATTCTTTGGACTAATAAAGATTTAGTAAAACGATTACGTCATATTTCAACATTATCATCGATGGTTTGATAATTTCTTACAATATAATTAAATGTTTATATGAGTATTTTGTAAAATACTTACAAAAACTTTAATAGATGAATCGATGGAAGCTAAATTACTGATAAAATACTTTACAGCTGATCGCACTGCTGTTGGTTCGGTATAACTTATCCAATCTTGAGATTCTATACTACGTATTAAAACCTTAAAAACAAAATATAAAGGATACAGAACCATAACAAAATGAATTCTAATCTTTCAATGTAGGAAAAAAAATAGAGAAATATAAAAGTGATAAATACATTGTCAGTAATCATGTAAATATCATAAAATGAATAAGTATACTTCGATTAGTAAAAGCCTTTTCTCCAACAATGCTCACTTAAGCTTAAAATTATGAATATAATATTAGATTTGATGGATATAAGTAAGCATCATCAAAGAATATGATGTTAATTTAAAGAATGAAATTCAACTATGTAAAGTCGAAAGTTTTTTTTTTTTTTTTTTTTGATCGTGAAAATGTAAATAGAAGAATAATTTCTAGAAAACAGAATTAAGAAAAAAACTAAATTTTAGAAGAATGACTCGCTAGATCTTCCGGAGATATTCCACTAAAAAAAGAACATAGACAGTTTAATACGCTTTCATATTTCTTTCATATATTATACCTAACGCATCACATGAAATTTTTAAACTCTTAACATACCTCAGAAGTATAAATTCCTTGAAAGTATACATAGTGTTTCAGAAGTTCATAAGCAGTTGTACGTAAGCGAACCTTAATATTCTCAACCGAACTTAATCGAGAATTTTTTCCTCTTTCTCGTTCTGTTACCAATCTAAAAATAAGTTCCTTTTCATTTCTTAATTATTTTTATTGAAGCATTAATTAAAGGTGATAAGCTCAACAGCTAACGTCGAAAATGATTTTTTTCTTTAGATTTTTTTGAGTTCAATGTATCCAAGAATAGTTTAGTAATCACAGATGAACAGTATTCGATAAAAGATCACATATTTTAAGCTTTTCATTTATTTTATTTTGCATTTCAATTTAAATACGAGAAAATATGTCAGACTGATAGTATGACAAATGAATCATTACTGAGGATAATATCAGCAGAAAATATGCATTATAAACTATAAGTCAATGTTGCGAATTACTTGAATAATGAATTTCAGTGCTGTTTTAATTGGGGAGAAAAGTAAGAGAAAAAAGACTCGGAAAAGAAGTTAAGTAAAAATCAAAATATGAAATTTAGGGAACCTGAATTGCTCTTGGCATAAATTCATGATATCAACCACCGAATGATTTTCGATATTTGTGAAAAATTGTGCTAAAACGTAATAAAAAACGGGTGATGATGGTGTCGCTTGATTCATAGCATCACAGAATTTCAGACCTAATTGAGCAATTTCATCCAAAGATTTTACAACCAATAATTCGTGAACATCAATACCAAAAAGGAGTGAAAATCGATCTGAAAATACAAATACGAATTATGAAAAATTCATAGAACTTGAAACATTCCCAACAACGATCAAATATATAAATTGCCAAATAAAACTTAATATTCGCGATTAATCGATAACAAACAAATTTCAGCCTAATCAGAATATAGAATGAATTAAATGCTCATTTAAATAAGAAGAAACAGTGCAGCAAATGTTTAAATAATTCTCAGATAGGAATTTCTTTGAATATAATTAGAATTAATGAGTTTTTCTAAAATTCAATGAAAGGACTCTCTGCATGATACCATCTAGGCCTTAAATTTAGTAACAAGACGTATTATTATATTCAAATGTTTAAAGAAGTATTAATTTTAATTGCATCTGAAGAAATCCCTATCTGAGAACTAATTCAACATTTGCTACCCTGTGTCGTTTTTTTTTTTTTCACTTCTGATGCATTATGAAAAAATAAAGGTTAAAAAAATATATTGATTTGCAATCAGAAATAAAAAAGAAAAATACCTTGAAAAAGTGATGAAAATGTCGTATCAGAAGCGGTGAAAAAAAGTAAAGATGCTAGAGCCGTTCTTATTTGAACAAGAAAGAAATGTTCCAAACGTGAAACTATATCACTTAACACCGATGTATTCGAAAAAGATGTTTCCGATGAAGTTAGTTCATCTTGAATCTAAAATGCTCTTATGTTACAAATAATGTTTTCTTCTTATTTGAGAATGTAGAATGTAATGAATCTAAATTAATATTTATGGAAAAACTAAACCTGTTGCAAGGATGATCCAATATGTTCCACAACTTGACGTTGTGCAAATTCTATTTCATGCCTTGAAACGATTTTTAACATGGAAATATCTAGTGGAAAATAAACAGTGCCTTAAAAAAAAAAAAAAATTTGTGAACCAAAGTATAATAAATTCATTACATTCCTTTAAATATTTTCAAAAATTAAATATTTCCTGTAAAAAGCTAAAATAATATCCATACTTATTTTTTATTGTTATAAAATGAAAGAAGTACAAGATTTGAGCAATATTAAAACTGCTAAAAAAAAATTAGAAATAAAAAGTAGTTAAGAATTAACCTAATATAAGCTCACACGATGACATATAACGATAAAAATGATCAAGTGCCTTTACAACAATAGCACATTCGGCAGCATCCGTTTCTTCCAAAAAACGCATTCTGACAATTTCTTCAAACTGATTCATTAATGAATCCATTAATTGAATTAAACTATCCACTGTCTAAAACAGAAATTATTTCTTTTGTTTTTTCAATCCATTAAAATATCAATGTTTTTTTTTTTGAACACAAAAAATTTTTGGAAGCACATTTTCTCAACATTCATGCTTTTGTTGTCAAACTATTTCATTTTAAAAATATGATTAACGATGAGTTTTATTGTAGTATGAAAAGAACAAGAATTTGAAATATATATTTCAACCTCATTCGAAAAAAAACGCTGACTTATTGTTGTGATCAATGAAACATCGGTTAAAAAGGTTCTACAACAATTATCCACGAAAACCAGAACATCTGTTGTATTCTAAAATAAACATCGAAATAGAAGAAAAAACGTGCTATATTTATTGAGCATAAATTAATTTTCTTAAATCAATTTTTTATGGACCTGTTTCGGCGTTCGCATTGCTTTAAGCTGATCAGTTAAATTACGCTTGCAATTTTCAAGAAAATTATTGTAAACAGTTGATGACTGGACGTCTAACTTCAGGAGTAAATTTATGGCTTCCGAAAGCTCATCAGATGAAATGAGACAATCAAAGACGACTTGCTTCAGCTAAAAAAAA